GGGGGGAGGAGAAAGGAAAAAGCCACAAGGCAGCATGCAGAGGCGACGGCGTCCCCCCCTCGGTCGCTGCCGCAGCCCCTGGTCTTTGGGATCCACTCGAGGAGGAGACGGAGGAGGGTGGCACAAAAGGCAGCCGCGTCCCCAGGGCGCGGGGAGGTGAGGAGGTGTCAGGGCACGGGGCCACGGAAAGGCACAAAGAAGGGTATAGCATGGTACGGCACGGCACGGCACAGTACGGCACAACCTGGTTTAGCACAGCACGGCACGGCACTTCACGGCACAGCACAGCAAAGTTTGGTGTGGTTTGGCGTGCACAGCACACCACAGCACGGCACTGCACGGCACTGCAGAGTACTACACAGCAACGCCCGGCACGGCACAGCATCACAAGGGCACGGCACGGCACAGCACTACTTTTTCTCCTTTACATTTACCTTTTTCCCACCATTTGGATGCATTCCACCTCTTTTCCCAGCTGCCCAGGCCAACGCAGGGGACCTTGTGCCGGAGCCCCTCGTCCCCTGGGACCCCACGCACCTTCCACAGCCGCCCTGCAGCCACGGCACGTCCCACGCACGGTAAGACCGAGCCCTCCCCGTGCCAGACCCTGTCACAAGCATGAGTGACCCAGCGAAGCAAAGATGCTGCCCTGGGCCATGGCTGGGGACAAGGACGAGGCTGGAGGTGACAGGGCACCTTGGCCGAGGAGGGCCAGGGGACCGGGGAGGTGCTGGCACCGGGCTGCCGCAGATCTCCCCCTCTCCGAGTTTTTTGCCGCGTCTCTTCCCACATGGCAAAGCCCCTGAGTTGGATCATCTAATTAGGCAATAGCTGGTGCCTCACGATCCTCCTCGTAGGAAAATTATGTTTTAATTAAAACATTTCGGGAGTTAATCAGTGTTGCCGATTCCCCAGGTGGCGGAGCAGGCGCGTGAAGAGCCGTGTTCCCAGGGGACCAGAGGGCTTTCCTGGGGGACACGGCAGCAGCCACAGGCCTTCCGGGGGGGCCGCGGCCCCAGCCACAGGCCGAGGGCCGGGGCTCCGGAGCGCCCCTGGTCAGGCCCAGTCCCAGAAGCAGTCACAAAGTCCTTTTTATTGTGGAATTAAAAGCCTCAGAGTAAAACCTGATGACGAGGGATGAACCTGAAGCAGATGTGGCAAACCCCCCCAGCCCAGGAACCCTTATCCCTTCGCTCACAGGGATTTGTGAGGCCATCGGCTTGCCAGGAAAGGACACGGCGGTCATCGGGACGGCGCAAGAGGAGCAGCCAAGGAGACGAGTCCCCCACGGCCACTTTGGGGACCCCGCTCAGCTGCCAGTGCCAACCCCCACCACCATCGATGAGTCCTGAGGCCCCCCCGGCCCGCACCCAAAACACGCAGGGCCGGTTTGAACCCCAAAAGTTGCTGCCGCTGGAAAAGCCCAGTGGAATCTCAGCCCTCAAAGAGCAAAGACAGACACAATCCCTGCCCAGTGTCGGGACGGATCCGCGGAGGTCAGGGCAGGGGTCCAGGCCACCTCCGGCATGTGGCTCTTCCCGATTCATGGTGCAACACAAGAGCAGAGAAGAGTTAAACCCTGCCCGCCACCAGCGCTGCCCCTCAGCCCCTACCTGTCATCGCCACAACGGGGACCCCAACACGCTTCAGCCTTGCCCGGAGGGATCCAAGCACGTCTCTGCGGCACAGCACAGCCCCCCTCACCTCTCCAGCAGGCAAGGGGGGATGCCAAATCACTCGGGGCCTGGGATGCTCTCAGAACACGCGCCCGTGGCCCTGCCTTGGGCTCAGAAATGCTGTGCAGAGCTCAGCATGGTGGGCAGGTTGGGCATGTGGGACACCAAGACAGACCGTGGTGCCCCGAGCCCCGGGATCCCTCTCCGGGATGGCTCAGAGGGAGTTGGCCGGCAGGCGCTGAGGGAAGGCAGCCACCCCAATCATGGCGGGAGGACGGTGAGGAGCTGCTCGCCCCAGGCATCTCCTTTGTCAGGCACGTCCACCCAGTCTGCTCCCTCCTTCCTCGCATCCCCCCGCTCTCCCGCAGCTGTTTCCATGGCCACAAAGCTGCTGCAGCAACTGCAGCAGGGTCTCCAGCACCGAGCCGTGCATCCCTCCTCCGGCCACGCACCTGGGACATAGCCGGGTCCCGGGCCCACGGGCCAGGCCCCCGTGGCTGCTCCCGCACACTGGCGCTCGGCCTCCTCGGGGTGTTCGCACCGGCTCGCACATACCCGCGTCCATTCTGGCACCAACACTCGCCACGTCCTGCTTGACCAACCCGATCTCCTTCTATGGCAAGGTGACCGGCTTGGTGGATGAGAGAAAGGCTGTGAATGGCGTCTGCCTGGGCTTTACTGAGGCCTTCGAGACGGTTTCCCACAGCATTCTCCTGGAGAAGCTGGCTGCTCACGGCTTGGATGGGTGCACTCTGCGCTGGGTAAAAACCTGGCTGGCGGCCGGGCCCCGAGAGCGGTGGTGAATGGAGTCAAATCCAGTTGGCGGCCGGTCACCAGTGCTGTTCCCCAGGGCTCAGTGCTGGGGCCGGTCCTGTTCAATA